CTTCCCGTGGCCCGTTAAAAAACCGTTGGGCCGCTTTACGTTCTTACTCTCTGAGCATCTAGGTGTCGGCTCCTTCCCAGAGCCGGTTCTACCGTTGGTGTCGCCTCCTTCTCAGTGCCGATACTGACACCTCCTTTGGTAGAACCGGCTGGTACTGGGTACCGGTACCTGCCCATCCCTAGTGTGGTATCGTGCTTTCGTCTAAATTAAATCTTGAACATGTGCCCATTCACACCTCTATCATCCGTCTATTCGTACGTTATCGTGCATGTTTTATATCAACATGGAAGTTAGGACTGAGAACACAGTTCAAAGAGTAGCATATTTTTATATGATTGCACTTTACCTCATGGTCCTCGTGTATTGGACTCGGTGAGGGAGTGGTCGGTCACAACATGAGAGCAGACGGGTGAAATTTTATAGCTGCAATAAAACTCACCATAAGCACGAATGACAACTATTCCGTATTGCATGAACACGAACAGTTGGGGGAACATAGAAAGGGCCCAGATAAGTAATAAATTCTTTCATGCGTCCCACACACGATATCACACAAACGCGGATGTTTGGTGTGAATGAGCCGTTAGACAATTCACATCCACACCCTACACTTGAAGTTATTAGCACAATTACGAATGTGAAATTAACTATTATTTTTCATGACGAACACAACATTACTACTACTGCACTGCAGCCTAGCTATGGCTTTCTAAATACTATCGCTAACTACTTTGTGTAATGACCCTGTGGAATCAAGCATCGTGTGTCAATTGTGGGTCATGTGGAATTGTCACCTTAAACTTTCCTAACTTTCAAAGTGGAAATATCCATAGGGCCTATGATTTATCTTGAACTGGAATAATAAATCAAGCTGTCTATATTTTTGTAATTGAAGGAGGTAGGGGTCACCGGGTTTTAGAGTTAAAATAAGTGAGAAAATGGCTGCCAAATTCGGTAAGTTACATTACCTATAAAAAAGTATAAAAGACGCCTTTGAAACTTAAAATGTATTTCTCTTCTAGATCTACTTCTAACCAATGTTTTTTATTAAAATTTACACAAAAATTTTTATCATGTATTTTTGAATGGACTCAAAAGGTGTTGAGGCAAAAAACAAAAATTAGATTAAAATTGCCATATATTTGTGAAAAAATGGCAATATAATCTTTGATTTCATTATTTTGATAAATGACTGATTTCAGTCACAATGCCTCGCACTTTTTGTTCAAGTACAATAATTTTAAGTCCATGCTAAGTTGCAATCTGTCTCAGTTGATGGTTTTCGTTTTGCAGCTGGTCAAAAATGTCACAGGGAAAGACTCATCCTATCAAAACGACTGAAAGTGGAAACTTTGGAAGACGCTGGGACGTTGTTGTCTGCACAGGAAGAATATGAAATGGTATGGCATGGTGCTCAGTGCTGTTGATGTTTTTATTTCTACATTTGTTGTTGTTATTTGTTGTTGTTATTTGTTGTCTTTGAAAAATTATAATTTGAAAATTTAAAATGTTCAGGTGAATGGGTTTTACTTTTCCCCATGTTTCTTCCTTGACTGAAAATGTAAAATGTGTGCATTTTGAAGTTTTTGTGTATGAAGCTTCGAAGTGTCTGTGAGTCTTTAAGAGAGAGATAAGGGTTGGGGAGGGGGGACTTGAGAGGTTGTGAACATGTAAGTTTCAGCTAACAGTTTATAATTCATTACAGTTATGATAAAATAGTAATTAATTGACAATGTGGCTTATGTAACAGATGTACATTTTTTAAGAGGCATCGGTCACAAACGCAATTTTGATCAAATTAGTGCTAACTAATACTACTCATGCTAACAGCAAGAGGACATTAAGTTTTTTCTGTCTGAGCTGTTAGAACAAGATGAATATATCATGTACTCCCACGGAAGTTTCAACCCATCTCAAAAAATTAATCAACCTTGGCTCAAAATAGGCTGTAAATTGTCATGTGGAACATGGAGACACACATGTTCGACACCATCTCGTCCTCTGACTTTGTGTAATCAGGGCAGACTATGACAGCTCACGAGACATGAGGGGGTTGTAGATCCACTTTGATAGAATTTTGACTAAAAAAGGTATGAAATACAAAAAAATGTTTCAACTTTGAAATAAAGATGTGAATTGGCTCACATATTCATGACTGTGTGTATAACTTGTTCATGTTTATTAAGGCCAGTGTGTGATTGACTTCTCTATAAATGTGGATTTTTGTGAGCAACATATCGAATGGGACCTTGTCTGTGTGCATCTGTGTGCATGTGTCGTAGACTTCCTGCACATGGTCGTGAGGTAGGCCATGGTTTTGTCGGAATGATGAAAAGTAATAGACGTACCCACCATCTTTTTCAGACCGAAAGTGCCACAAAGTTACTCAAGTCTGGCAGGAAGGCGGATGCCCTGACCACACTCCACAGAGCGCTAGCCAGGGACGAGAGCAATGCCAAGACGTTCATAAAGTAAACCTTTCCCTCTCGCTTTTTTAGACTCGTACACATGTGTTTATTTCTGTCCCCGTCGTTTTATGTAAGAAAAATTTTGAAATTATTCGAACTGAGCCCAAAAATGTGAAATTGTGCGATTCTGTTAATTTTAACAAAGGAAAATAATCAGAAATTATGCAAGAAATGATCAAATTTTGCTAAATTGTGCGGGGTGCATAAAACCACGGGGACTTATTAGTTCGTTCAGCTTCCCTTTTGTGTCCACAATATCAGATATTTTTGCAATTTTAAAATGAAAATGTTTTTTTCTAGTGGATGCTCTGGAACGGTCTGCTTCTTCTTTTCTGTCAAATATCTATCGTCTTTATCTCTCCTCCTCTGGATAGATAACAACATTATCTCTCCTCCTTTTTTGTGTTTATTACTCTCTTGTAACACATCTATTCTTCAGCACGTAATATATATGACTTGATTGTGTTGCACGTGTCATAAAAGACTTACTAAAACAAAAAGGTTGTATCTGATCTGTCTTCTCTACCTGTCTATCTATCTGTCTTATCTGTCTCTACATGTAATATCTATTTGTAAGTCAATCTTATCTGTTATTTATATCTGTTTGTCCTACTATAACTGTTTATTTTCTCTCTGTCCTTCCTGTATGTGTGGGTGGTTGGCGGGTGCTCTGGTGTGGTTTGCTCCTTCTTTCCTATCGAACATCTATCGTCCTGATCTCTCCTTTTTTGTGTTTGTTACTCTCTTGTAACACCCAATCTTCGGCACTTATGTGACCTTATTGTGTTGCTAGTGCCGTAAAACTCTTTCTAAAAACTAAGACATCCTGTATGTCTTTCTGTTTGTCTGTTCATTTGTCTACAAATTGCCTGAAGTGGGTGGTTGGGGAGTGTTCTAGTGTGGTTTGCTCCTTCTTTCTTATCGAACGAACGTCTGTTGTCCTGATATCCCCTCCTTTTTTGTGTTTGTTACTCTCTTGTATCATATTTAATCTTCAGCTCTTGTATGACCTTATTGTGTTGCAAGTGCTGTAAAAACCCTTATTGAAATGAAAACAATTGCCTGAAACATCCTCATTTATCTACCTTCATTGTGCTATCAGACTGGACGAGCTAACTACGTTGATTGGTTGATTCTGTCCAATATGACCCTATTGTGTTGCAAGTGCCGTAAAAATCTTACTAAACTAAAATAATTGCCTGACACATCCTCGTTTATCTCTACATTATTTGTGCTTTCAGACTGGACGGGCTACCTGCGTTGATCGGCTGTTTCTTCGCCCCTGACTCGGAGATCCTCCACGCTGCGGCCTGGTGTGCCATCAATCTCACGGCTGGCGTGTCGCTGTCACTGAAACGTGTCAAGTTGTTGTCGCCGATCCTCTTTCAGTTCTTGCATGGATCAGACGTAGCGATGCAGGTAGAACACACCATTGTTTTTGTAGTTGTCTTTTCTCTTGTGCATAAAAAAGTAAATCCAAGAATGTTCCTTTTAAAGAAATTAAGAAGTTTCCGTGTTGATTATAAGATAAGTCCCTTTTGTACCATTCTATGATTGAAAGCGTGCTATTATTTTGTATTTGCTGCTGGGGTGGGAATTGTAAGGCGAAAGATAAAGAAAAATTGGACAGTACCATTAAGAAAGCCAGCAAGGTCTCTGGATATGATTTTACTTGAATTGATGAAATGTATAACACCACAAGTATAAAAAAGATAAAAAGCTTTATGAATGACCCATCACACCCCTTTTTCACGCAAATTGTAAGATCACGCAGGGGCAGATATGTACCTCCAAAAACAAAGAAAGAAAGGTATAAAAGACAATTTTTACCATCTAGCATAAAGCTGGCATTCCATATGCCCGAAAAACCGATGCGAACTTCGGGTGCGGATTTCGTACACGAAATACACGTGCGATGAAAAAAGAACCCTCCTTTCATATACCCGAAATTCGTATCCGTCATCTGACTGAAATCACGGCACCAGTTCAGTCAGAGCAAGCACTCTATGTTGAAAACAAGAGAATTTTGCTGTTAGAACTTTGTCCAGACTTGATGATGGCCTTTCCTTCATAAGCTTTGCTTTCTTGGGTCGTTTTCTTTTCGAAGCTTCGGTCCTATCACCGACAGCGCTGGCTGATGTGGCTGCGGCACAGACAGCAATCTTAAGTTATAATTAATGTATCTTAGAAGTTGTATTCAAGTGCATTTAAGGGGGGGGTAAGTGAAATGCTATTTTTTTGTTATTACATGATTTAAACGATAAATGATAGCATAGATATATCTAGATCTAGATTACATAGACTCCCGAAAGTTTCCCACAAGCTTAAAAAATAGTGGTTGCCAAGGAAATGGCAGCCACCTTGAACATAAACACCTCTTTTCAGTCTTAGTTTTAATACTTCTCTCTCGAACCAAGGAAATCAACATTTCGACGTTTTCCCCACTTACCTAGTGCTTCCATGCTGCTTCGTTCCTTTGAAGTAGATTTGGCGGGAAATAAGCCCCGCCCACTTCACGAAGAATTCGGGTGCCGAAGAAAAAAGTTTCGCTCCCTCGTGCGAAACAAAATCTTCACATGCGAATTTTGGATTCGGCCCTGCGAAATTCCGGTATATGGGTTTACACAATGACAAAAAGGTTGGCGCGAAAAAAATAGTTCACACGCGAAATTCGCATCAGTTTTTCGGGCATATGGAATGTCAGCTTAAGTCTATTGTCAGAATAAGCATAATGTGTATTACTATTACTCTTTAGAGTATGTATCTATGAGTATATAACTCCTGAGGTCTGGTAATCAAATTCCTGCATTAAGTTGAATGATGCATCTGATGTGATACGTACATTTTGTCAGCTTTACTTCTCTTTTCACATTGAATTTTAATGAGGGTAATGTGTAATTTAATTCTTTTATATATACCTGCATGTGTTTTTACGGTCTTGTGCAGCCAAGAATAATTTCCCTCTGGGATGATAAAGTATTATCTTATCTTATCTTATCTAAGTTGAAAGATGAATAGAAATAAAAGCCCCGAATGTTTACACAAACTTAAATGTGAGTCAGCTAAAAAAAAACCCCAAAGGCTAGTGAAGGAGGGGTGCCACATTTCGCCATTGTGGTTTCTTCATCATCGCCATCATTATCATCATCGTTATGATATCATTATCCTAATACATTATTAAAAGCTAGATTTTAGAATTGAACCTAATGTTTGAAATGTCGTTGTGCACATTTTCATATTTAAGAATCATCAAGCACCAACTCCATACACAGTCACACACTCATGCACAGACTCAAACCTACACATACATTCACACACACACACACACGCACATACACATACACAGAGACAGACACACGCACACATACATACACACGCAGACACACACACACACACACACATACACACACACACACACCCTCACACTCACACATTCCACAATGACATTCATATTCACTTGTGGGCTTTCTCCCCTTTGAATTAAACATTATGAAATAGAATATTAGATGAGCCTCTTTTGTACTTTACAAGTTCTTCTGGGTTCTAAAATGTTTGTTGACATATTGCTCTAATGACAATGTTGTTCACCAATATCTGTTCCCATCACAATATTGACAGTGTTACTCGCAATCCACCAATCTCATCAAAGTATGGATAGTGTTTATGTGTTCTAGGTGGGTGGTTGGTCTGTGCTCTGGTGTGGTTTGCTCCTTCTTTCCCATCAAACATCTATTGTCCTCATCTCACCTCTTTTTTTTGGTGTATGTTTCTCGCTTGTAATACCTCTAATCTTCGGCTCTTATTTGAACATATCATTTTGTAAGTGTTGTAGAACTCTCACTTAAACTAAAACAGATGTGTGCTAGTCATCGGTTTGTTTCTCTCCATCAGGAATTGTGTGCTTGGGCCCTTGGGAACATAGCAGGAGACTCGGCGTCCCACAAGGACCTTCTTGTTCAGCAAGGCTGCGTGCCCGCACTGACAGAATTAGTTTCAAAGGTATGTTACCCGTAGGTAGTCAGTTTTGATTTGTTTGTTATCGACACGTTCATTGTTAACATGTGGAATGGTAATTGATACATAGTCAGATTTTATTTAATGATAATAAATGACTTTTATATAGCGCTCAACCCCGATTAAAGTACACAGGCTCTGAGCGCTTCACAATACAGTACAACGTACAACAGTAACATAAAATGTTGCGTTCTGACTAAAAGAAAATCACTCCAAATATTCATCTTATTAATTTAAAAACAGAAACTACTTCAGCTAACATTTGAATGAATCAAAAGATTTAATCTCTCTTAAAGTACTTGGTGAAGCATTCCAGATCCTCAGTTAGTTAAGTTTTTATTCAGTGTTTAAGCCAATGGCCAACATCACACAAAACGTACATTTTACAGAAGAAACTTCCATGTCAACAGCGGCAAAC